GAGCCATCCAGTGTACTACAAAATATACACCTAATAAAAATGCTCACGCCATTTGGTTCGCAGATCAAGTGAAAAAAGCAACAAAATCTATAATTAGACATTTGTATTTATTAAATAATAAATAAGTATAGATTTTTATACAGTTTCATCTATTGGAAGGGATCTCGTGATCTGTGAATAAAATCCACATTTAGTGATTGTCACCTACACATCCATCATCTTTTTGAACCATCAGTCTTGCCTTTTTTTGGCTGGACAGAACTCAGAATCATGAAACAAACAAGAATGTTGCCGATTACGGGAGTGATTAGATTTCTGATTAGTTTATTGCAGGTTCAGAAAATCAGGAATTTGGAGAATCACCGAGAAGGACAACATTCTAATGAATTGCAGTAATGAAACAAATCTCCAAGTCTACTATTTTCTTACTGTACCTCGTCTTTAGAATAATCCAAACTGGAAACTGATGAAATATGCATACACGGGTAGCCCAATCTACAGTCTGTAGCAATAAACAGAGAATTATCATCTTCAGTGATTTAATTTTTACATTCGAGGGCATGTGGCCTGGACTATACATCTAGAGTTATTCCTAAAGTTTTCACTGAAGATTTATTGAAAAACATGCATTGAAAAGAACACAGCGCATACCAACAGATATAATAAAAATAAATAGCAATACACAAGTTTTTGTATCCACTTGAGTGGGAAACGTCTGCAGTGGGGTTTTGTCGATTAGAAAATACTGGAAGGATATCATGAGCTGTTGTGTGTGTATATATATATATATATGTGTGTGTATATATATATATATATATATATATATATATATATATATATATATATTTAATCAATATAGTTAGTTAGGATGCCATCCCACCACTGCCACCATTGTAACGGAACCGCTTGCAACCCGACCGCGTACCTTTCATTGATGGATGCTCCTACTGCTTCCCAAGGACTCCAAGCACTCCGCCAGACACCATAACCACTGTAGACTCCCATGAACCGCCGCAGCTTGGTTGGGGTCTCCCTGTCGCCACCCACTCTGGACCCAAGACCAGGGTCCATCTTCCAGTAGGTGGACCTCTCCCAATTCCAAAGAGCAGGAACAGGAACAAGCTCGTAGCAGAGCTTAGTGATTATACCCTGGGGAGTATAGTGATTATAGCAATCCCCAGAGTGTAGTTCTCCAATCCCCCAAACATGAGCCAAAACTTCATGAAGGTACAAGATGATCTGTTTAATAAGCACCAAAGGACTTTCTTTTATGCAAGATTTTCCACAAGGTTTTCCACAAGGTTACCCCCTACATGGTCTTGTGGAACAGCCAATCAAACACATTACAATACAGTCAGACACTCCCAGCCAAAGCACACAAACCATCCCCTCTGCTTGTGATACAATTATCTCGACACAATGGGCTAACTTAATTATCACAGGCAGGAGAATATACAGTTTCATACAATATTCATAACTCCTAAAACTCCTAAAATATACATATACATATTCTGAACCAGCACAATCAATATACAAACATATGTCAAAATCATACAAGTCCCTCCAGTGGTTTAAAAGTTAGGTGGATGTCCTATTTGACCGACCTGCCCAAAACAGTTCCATAGATTTGGGCTGTGCGATCGGTCAATTTTCTCCTCTATCCTGGAGATAATTGGCTTAAGTTACTGTAGTAAACTCAATTAATTCCAGGTACAGAAAATATCACTAAGTCACAACTGCAACAAAACACATTAAAATACATAACTAATATTCTGTAGAACTGAACCCCCACATTTGACCTATCCCCAGATAGCTTGGATCTGAGCGCTCAATATAGCTGAACAGCACTCAGATCCCACGAATACAGTCAAATCGCCATGGAGTTAAACAATAGCAAGGGCTGATGAGAGACCGAGGAGGGACAAAGCAGCCAGTTCCAACTGGTCTGGCAGTGTCCATGGGACAATGCCCTTCTGGAGAACAATGGGACAGGAAACGGGGTAGGGGAAGAGGCACACCTTCCCATGGATTCAAAGGGGCAGAAAAAGTGTTCCAAAATCCAATAAGCCCAAATACAGTTTTTAAAGGGCCATACATCCCAGGACCATAGTCATGAAGCAGGAGGCTGGCAACCAGGCCCCTCCAAAACCCAGTGGTGAGGTCACTTTCGCCACATACCCCCATTGAAAACATGCATTAATTTAATTATGCATTTGTTTCAATGGGGTATATCTAAAACCATCTTACAAAAGCTACATATTTATTGTCTGGTGACTTTGCAAGCCCTCCCCTGCTAACCCCGCCCAGACTTTCTGTGGCTGTCTAATCACAGACCTTCCCGATACAGCTCAATGAGAAACCTTTTCAAGGCAGGTGCCTATGCAATTGCTGCCTCTTGAGTTTAGCTCCACTGAGCTAAGTAATCAGGAAGTAACAGGACCAGTTGTCTGATTGACAGCCAGGGGGGTGTAACAGGATTAATTTATAAAAGTACAAAATTTTACTGAAATCAGCAAAGTAGTCACACACCAAGACACAACTTATATGTTGCAAGGACAAGTTTTCTTCATAGCTTATACTACTGGTCTGTCCTTTTGTAGCTTTTTGGCTTGGTAAACTAAACATATATGTGAGTGTATTGCTTAATTCTTACAGAGGAAATATCAGCCCTAGCATTCTCCCTACCAGTGAGATGCCCCCATCCAAGGAATCACAGAAAGCCCATTATTTACATTCCACTAATCTCACTGTGTACAGTGTACACGTCCATTTGTAGCTTATAATATACCTTAGGTATAGTACGTGTTTTGTGATTGTGAGATTTATGTCTGTGTAAAAGATACACAATCAATGTAGCTTCCCACTCGTCACTAAGTGAAAAGTGTTTATTACTGTCACAGTGTATATTATACACATTAATTATACACTGACATGCAATATGAGTAGTACTTCAGTATTAAATGTCAAAAAGCACATTATCACAGCTCTCTGTACGAGTGTGTTTTTAAGATATTAGGAGCTTCAATTACACATTATTTTAATTGCTTCCGCAATCGAAGACAGAACCACAGACACCTACATAATGTAATTAACATCGACAGAAAGATTTTTCTCCTGATCACATAAAGAGAACAGAACACACACAGAAATACAGGCAAAAATGATAAACTGTTTATAGTTTTTTCCTGTTACAGTTATTCTTCAGGGGTTACCCCCCCCCCACTCAGGAGTGCCACGTAAACTACCTCCTGTCTTTTCTTTTTCACACAGAAATACAGTATAGAATCTTACAAGGCTGCTTAAAATAACCTGTGTTATTGGCATTTAATAACACAATATGATCACTGTGTTTAACCCCTTAAGGACACATGACATGTGTGACATGCCATGATTCCCTTTTATTCCAGAAGTTTGGTCCTTAAGGGGTTAAAGTGCCACAGTCATGTTTTGTTTTGTTTTCTTTAAGTTTTCCTTTGTGTATTCCCTTTTTTTCTTAAAGGGATTCTATAGTGCCAGGAAAAAAACCTTTCAGACTCCACCCACACTCCTCCCCCGCCAATGTTAGCTGGTGGGGGAGACCTAATGTGCATGCACGGCAATGGCCGTGCTCACATTAGGATTTCCCCATAGGAAAGCATTATTTAATGCTTTCCTATGGGAAAAAATCTGACGCTGGAGGTCCTCATGTAGAGCGTGAGGATGTCCAGCGTCAGATAACAAATCAAAGGTCTGTTTCAATCCAGGAAGTCCCTGTAGTGGCTGTCTTGTAGACAGCCACTAGAGGAGGAGTTAACCCTCAGAGATAATTATTGCAGTTTCTCAAAAGCTCTAATAATTACCACTGTAGAGTTAAGGGACATGGGACATTGCACCCAGACCACTTCAATGAGCTGAAGTGGTCTGGGTGCCTACAGTGTCCCTTTAATGATTACACTCCCCCCATTCATATTGCTATTTATATGTATTGTCTTTTCATCCTTGTACTGGATCTCAATACTTGGGTGCTTCCATTTTGTTCTCCTCTGTCCATGAAGTCTGCAGTTTGCTCTTCTGTGGGATTCTTTTGACTAATGGATTGTGGGTAAATCAGATTACATGGGACATTGGGGTGCTCAACCTAAAGGATCTGGTAAGGACTCCAAATACACAGAAGAAAGGGAAACTGAACATGCATTTGGTATTGCTGTAGACATCAAAACATATACAAATTACATATTAAGGGGGCAGTGCACACAGAAAAATATGTTATAAAAACTTATGAAAATACTACTTAAAATCAGCTCTCTCTATCTCTTTTTTATTAGGCTATTTAGGATGTTTAGGACTACCATGTTATATAATGGAGGTAAGCCATCAAGCGACAATTGGCTGCCATGTCATATAATGGAGGTAAGCCATCAAGTAACAATTGGCTGCCTTGTCATATAATGGAGGTGTACCATCAAGTGACAATTGGCTGCCATGTCATATAATGGAGGTGTGCCATCAAGTGACAATTGGCTGCCATGTCATATAATGGAGGTGTGCCATCAAGTGACAATTGGCTGCCATGTCATATAATGAAGGTGTGCCATCAAGCGACAATTGGCTGCCATGTCATATAATGGAGGTGTGCCATCAAGCGACAATTGGCTGCCATGTCATATAATGTAGATGAGCCATCAAGTGACAATTGGCTGCCATGTCATATAATGGAGGTGTACCATCAAGCCAGGGCCGGCCTTAGGGGTGTGCGAGCTGTGCGACCGCACAGGGCGCCATGGAACAGGGGGCGCCCTGTGGCCGACACAGCTCACTCATGGCCGGAGTGCAGGGGAGCTAAAAGAGGTACCTGGCTGGAGGATTAATTATTCTCCACCCGGGTCTATTTAAAAAAAAAAAAAAAATCGCGGCAGAGGGGGCGGGGTTTACCGAGCGGCGGAGGCGGGGCTTATCGAGAGGCGGAGACGGGGCTAATACCTCCCGAAGCCCCTGCTGTACAGGAAGAGGGAAAGATGCTTCCCCATCAGCCAACTGCATCCACTGGAAAGAGGTAAGTGTGTGTGTGTGACTGTTTGCCTGTTTGTGTGACTGTCTGTCTGTGTGTGTGTGTGACTGTCTGTCTGTGTGACTGCCTGCCTGTGTGCGTGTGACTGTCTGTGTGTGTGTGTGTGTGTGTGACTGTCTGTGTGACTGCCTGTCCTTGTGTGTGTGTGTGTGACTGTCTGTCTCTGTGTGTGTGTGTGACTGTCTCTGTGTGTGACTGCCTGCCTGTGTGTGACTGCCTGCCTGTGTGTGTGTGTGTGTGACTGTCTGTCTGTGTGTGACTGCCCATGTATGTGACTGCCTGTGTGTGTGACTGTCTGTCTGTGTGACTGCCCGTGTGTGTGACTGCCTGTCTGTGTGACTGTCTGTGTGTGTGACTGTCTGTGTGTGTGACTGTCTGTGTGTGTGTGTGACTGCCTGTCTGCCTGTGTGTCTGTCTGTAACTATCTGTCTGTGTGTGACTGCCTGCCTGTGTGTGTGACTTTCTATCTGTGTGACTGCCTGCCTGTGTGTGTATAACTGTCTATGTGTGTGTTACTGTGTGTCTGTCTGTGTGACTGCCTATGTGACTGTCTGTCTGTGTGTGTCGCTGTAGCTGTGCCATTGTTTGTGCCTGTGCCTGTATGTGTGACTGCCTTTAACTGAGTGTGTGTGTACATGCCTGTAACCGAGTTTAAATTTCCCCACCCCTTCCTGTCAAGGCCGCACTTTGACTGACAGACGCTCACTCACTGACAGACGCACACTCACTGACAGACACACACTCTCATATACACTGACAACCAATGACATACACACATACACTATTACTTGGACACACACTGACAGATGCACACTCTCACTGACAGACGCAAGCACTCACTGAAAGATGCACGCCTCCACTGACCGACACATACACACTGACTGACACACACTCACTGACCGACACACACTCACTGACCGACACATACACACTCACTGACTTACACACTCACTGACTTACACACTCACTGACTTACACACTCACTGACCGACACACACTCACTGACGACACATACACACTCACTGACGACACATACACACTCACTGACTGACACATACACACTCACTGACTGACACATATACACTCACTGACCAACACACACATTCACTCACAGACACACACACATTCACTTACAGACACACACAATTACACACTTACAGACACACACAATTACACACTTACAGACACACACACACACACACACACATTCACTTCAAAATAAACACTCACAGACACACACACAGACATTTCCACTAACACTCACAAACTAATATTTTTTACATTTATTTTAAATCCACCCAGCCTCCCGGGGAAAGCTGGAGTGGATTTCTTACCAGCAGTCCAGTGTGGCTGCTGGGCAGGCAGGCAGGGGGCGCACAGGCTGAGTAAGCAGCGCTTAGTGATGCCGGGAGCCGGACTGACGTCATATTCTGGCTCCCGGCTTCATTAAGCGGCGCAGAGGAAGCTGAGCAGGAAGAGCTCAGGTGAGTATGCCCCTTCGCTGCCCGCTGCCAGCCTTGGGGGGGCTCAAAAGTGGCCAGCCGGTCAGCTCTTGAGCCCCCCAGGATGCGAGGCAAGCAAGGGATCTGCCTGGGGTTTGGAGGGATGCTTTTTTTTGCCGCCCCCTGCAAAGTGGCGCCCAAGGCAGATGCCTTGTTTGCCTCGTGATACACACGTCCCCGGTGCCTGTGTGTGTTACTGTATTCAGGCAACTTGGTGGGAGGTGGGGGGGGCGCCGTGAAGACTTTTTGCACAGGGCGCCTAATTGCCTAAGGCCGGCCCTGCATCAAGCGACAATTGGCTGCCATGTCATATAATGGAGATGTGCCATCAAGCGACAATTGGCTGCCATGTCATATAATGGAGATGTGCCATCAAGTGACAATTGGCTGTCATGTCATATAATGGAGGTGTGCCATCAAGCAACAATTGGCTGCCATGTCATATAATGGAGGTGTACCATCAAGTGACAATTGGCTGCCATGTCATATAATGGAGGTGTGCCATCAAGCGACAATTGGCTGCCATGTCATATAATGGAGGTGTGCCATCAAGCGACAATTGGCTGCCATGTCATATAATGGAGGTGTGCCATCAAGTGACAATTGGCTGCCATGTCATATAATGGAGGTGTGCCATCAAGTAACAATTGGCTGCCATGTCATATAATGGAGGTGTGCCATCAAGTAACAATTGGCTGCCATGTCATATAATGGAAGTGTGCCATCAAGTGACAATTGGCTGTCAGGTCATAACATTTAGAGATTTTTTGCACTTTGAGTGGTTAGTATTTAGAATTAGTTTTAAGCAGAAATAATAACTATTGTTTGTGCATTTTAGCTGTTATTTTCTTCTTCCCTCCCACTGGGTGTATTCCTTGGGTATAACCCATTGCCAGCCAATACTGGCCTGGGTATTGATCAGGAAAACACCCAAAAAATTTCCATTCTTATCATAATTTTCATTTCCTGATCAAACACCATGGCTGCATTTTGTTACCACACTTTTTTTCTAGATATTATAAATCTTTGTTACACAGACTGTTTAATAGGGTGGGGGCAGGTCTGTTTATGCTGTTTCACTTCCTGTCCATTCCTCTCTGATGGGAGGCGCTAACCTATTAGTCCATGTTGCCATGGTGATGATCAGGAAAAGAAAATTACGGTAACTATGGAAACTATTTTGCTGAAGAGTAGAAACAGACATCTTGTTATAGGGAAAGCATCTTGTATGACCAGTATAATTATCTAAGAACGTTTGTAATAATACATATGATTCTACGGGGTTAATTAGCTAAACAGCATGATGTATATGATTCTAACTAGACAATACTTTGGATACTGGAAAAAATCTGAAATAAAAGTACCTAGTACAAAAAAGTGCAACTTTTACTGAACCACAGCAAGTAACTGTTTAGCGAACATACCTCTATGTGTTATATTAAAAGAAACACAGAGTTTTAAACACCATCATCTACTTTTTACAACGACAGACTTTTTACAAAGATGCTAATAGTGAGCTCTCGCAAAGTCTAGATCCTGGTATGTAAATGGCAAAGGCCAAAGGACGCATTTTGTTATAAATCATGACCTCCTGTGGTAGAGGCAATACAAACATTACCTCATTAAAGTATAGCTGTTTCCCCTGTGCATGAGAATTGCCACTTGACTAACACTAAGCAAGACTTGGGCTTGACGTTATACTTACTGCATCCACATAACATTGTCTATGTAGGGCCCACTTGTCTGTTTCTACATCGGAGGGTGGTAAGATTACTTTTTTCATCCTAAGGCACTACAGATAAATTCATTGTGTGACCAACATTTAATTTTGGCTACGTGGAGAATTGATATGGAAATTGCAATATTTAGGCGACATTAGTATGTTTGACAAACTTCACAACTTCACAATTTGGCTATCTTCCAGATCAGAACTTGCAATACCCTGGTCAATTCTCTATAATTCCTGTTTTATTAAATACTAATTTGCCACAATGTTAAGGTATACATTGTTTTCGTATCTTTAGTAGCGTAGGCATCCACTGTTTTAAATTAATTATACATGTCAGCATGAACTATCACACACAGGAGTTATATCTAAACATATCAACCAGGATTCTGAGTATAACGCATAACTGGTGTCAATATTTTCTCCAATACATTGTATCCTCACAATATTCCTGCAAAAGATGAATGAAATAAAGAAATAATATTAAAAAAAAAATGATTTTAAGTCAACTTCATTTCGATTCCTTGTGGAAATCCAAATGTTATATTTTGTCCAAAGTATATCTGTTAGCCACCCTTCCCATATTGTAAATGCTGCATTACAATTTATTTTAACAAAATACCCTGTTAATCAGGATTTTATTTTACTCAGAAATGGAAACATCACAATCATTGATGTTCTAGTTATCATTTTAAGTTTTAAACTCTTGAGATATAATTTAGCAACTTTTAATCTTAAAATTAACTGTGCTGTGTAATTTTACATTGATCTGGAGAGCAGAATTACAAGTAAACAGGCATACAAAGTGCAATAGTGATTTCATTGTTTAAGCCAAAGTAACATTTAAGATTTTAGCCATGGCGAACCTTCTCACACAAGAAATAAATGCAATGTGACTTAGAGCCTTGGCACTAAAGAGGTACATTTATCAATGTCAAAGAACACTCATCATATTAAATGGTGAACTGTAGTCACCATCATGAGGACAATGTAAATGTACACATACAATCTAGAGTCCAAGACTTCTAATGGGATTGGCAATGTTGGCTTGACAACTGGGTTCCTTGGCAATTCTAAGAAGTACCATGTATTTATTTCAAGTAAAAGCAGACATTCTTGTAGTTGGAAAGATTGAACCTCTTAACAAAGTTCTATAATCAACGGGTTGATTAGAAAATGGCTGGGAATTACCAAGGTACTAAGAATTGTCAAGATCTTTCAAGGCGAATGTGTCAGTAAATATACGCAATCTTCACACAGAGGTAACATATTGCCCAATCAGATCAATTTTTAATTCTGTATTTTTTGGAACTGCACTTGAAAGTGCGGCCAGGCATTGTACTAAGTTAAAGGGATACTAAAGGCATCAGAACAACCTAAGCTTAATGAACCCGTTTGGATGTATAGATCATGCCCCTGTAGTCCCATTGCTCAGTTCTCTGCCATGTAGGAGTAAGATCACTTTGGTTATGTCCATGCAGCCCTAGCCACACCTCCACTGGCTTGACTTACACACAGCCTGCATGAAAACAAAATGGTTTAATTTTCAATCAGATGTTTTCAATCAGAAATAGGAAAAGAAGATAAGTAATGGTATTTAGTATTAGTTTACAGATTATTCTTAATAAGAAGTTCCTTACTGAAGGATATTTGGATCCAGTCTGCAGCCAGAATTTTACAGGTGTCCTGGAATAGGAAACCAAGAAAAGGTGTTGTCTTGAGTGTAGCAAATTGATGTCCAGGTCTGGGTCAGCAACTTTAAGGCATAGGGGGAAGGTTCAAAGAACAATCCAACGTTCGGGCCGAGTTAAAAATGCAGAAAGCAGAAAATTAGGGAGTATTCAAGAAGCAATACCAAAGTCCAAAGCTGTGTCGTGTCCTATCAACTTGAGTCCAAACTAACTTAAAGGAACACTATGGGGTCAGGAATACAAACATGTATTCCTAATCCTATAGTGTTAATACCACCATCTAGCCT